TCGCATTTTGACTTAGTACGCGAGTTAGATTTGGTGTAGTAATCTCGTTGTGTGTTAAATTGTGACAAGTTTGTTTTTCTCCCCTTGCCTTTGTGCGAGCGTTTTTTGTTACTCGGTTTTTGCGTGTTTTCCTGGTACTCGCTTTTTGCCAGCGCTTTCTGTTGTCTCGTTTTTGCGGTGCGGTTTTTGTTAATAAATCTTATTTTTCATACGGAGTTCTTGTTGTTGTCTGCTGTTTCGGGAATCCTTTAGATTAATTTTGGTTGCGATTGAAGCGGGTTCCTTTCCGCTTCGCTCGCAACGTGACACTAATATCTCAACATGAAATTAGAAAAGACTTTCCGAATAGGCCCTAATATCTCAACATACATCCATCCATTTTCTGTTCTGCTTATCCTCACGAGAGTCTTGGGTGAGCTGGAGCCTATCCCAGCAGGGTGAGAGGCGGGTACACCTGAAGCCTTTCATGCACCCTGTAATGTGATAACATGATAAGCTGTCCACTGTAGTGACCACTGTCCCTGAAAGGGTTAAGATGGTGACCAGACAACTTTCACTGCCTATAATATCGTGGCTCATCTGGCAAAGCTCGTTTACGTTCCAAACAGGGAAAATGGAAACCGGTGCTTCTTGGTCTGATGATAGAATCACATTTTAGTTTTAAATTAAATTAATTTTTTTTGCAATGAGACTTAATTGTTGCCCTAAGTGATTGATGTCCAGTATCTCTTGATTTTCAATGGCAATGGTACTCTCAAGCACTGGTGAGGCATCAGCAGTCAAGTTACAACAGACCATAAAGTTGTATGAGGTCCAAATCTCTGGTCATAAAGGAGATTGCAGTGAAATGTGAAACCAGGACAAAGTATTTGGACATCAAATAAAGGAGCTCAGAGTAGTGTCTCCACTCCTCTGCATCTAAAGGAGCTAATGACTCATCTAATTAAGCCGCATGATGTCTGGACACCTCTAATTGGAAGAAGAATTGGAACACATGAGGGACCTCCTAACTTATCCAGATTGGGAAGGCCTCAGGTTGCCACTTAGTAGCCACTTGATAACATGATGGGAAATAATTACTGCTTCACAGTATGCATATACTGTATAGTGGATTGGTTGTTCAACAATGTTGCCTTAGAGCAAGGTGGTCCCAGGTTTTTATTTTTTGGTTACTGGGTGTCACAGTTAAATACTGTCTGTTGCTTTATTTGACAGGAAGCCAGCACACGCAAATTGCTAGTTTCTATGTACAGTATAAATTATGGCACTACAATTAGGGATGCCTGATAACTGTTTTTTCCCACAGATAGCGTTACCCGATAACTTCCTGCTTCTACAAATATATATA